TATTGACCTGATACTGTAAATGGTCTGTTTGGGTCAGTAAAATTAGGTAACTCAGTGTTAGAAACAAGAGAAAAAAATCTTTTTATTTACTTTAAAAAAAAACTATGATATTTCTCAAGTTAATGGCAGTGTATCTTGTGCCACTGTGTTTCCAAAGTGTGCCATTTCTTTTTCTGTGATTCAAATAAATAGAAAAATTGTTCTGAAAAAGTAAAGAGAACAGAATGAGAGCTGAATGTTGTAATGGGTTGTAGTTTGCTGAGGGCAATTTTAGATCCTTGCAGGCATGTCTATGTTATGCATATAACATCATATATAACATCATCATATAACACTTTATATGATGAATGTTAGGTTCCATAGTATTCTTCAGCTTTGTTTTTGGAACAGTCTTGGGGGTGAAAGAATACTAAAGATAGACCTTTGACAGTATGGTCCTGAATCTCCTGGTAGTTTGTGTAGGAAGACTAGGTGGATGTGTAGCTGACTGGCTTTTGAACACACCTTCTGACTTTGCCCCAGTAGTCAGATGCCCATCTCTTTAATCTGTCACTGTTGCCAGTGATGGCTTAATAGCATATGTTGCCAGTCTGGCTATCCCATTCCTGTTGCTTATGGTAGTACTCTCTCTGCCTTGCATAGATGCTTGCATGTGAAGCTCTATTCCTAAACATTCATGGTATTCAATGCCTGGATTGGGTTATAGAATTTAAATCATATGGCATTTAATTCTCAGATACCCACTCATATTCATTCAGGGATTAGTTTTAAAATGAAATAATTATCTCAGCCAATGTCCCTTATTGTCAGCTTGTCTGCCTGGGGTTTATTTCTTGTTCTACTGAAATCAGGCACCCAGGGATGATAAGCCTTGTATTAGTTCTTGAGTAAATTGCATAGCAAGGTTCTCTGACAGCCACGTGGAAGGTGGCATTCATACAAGATCACATTGAGTCTGTGGAAAGGAAAAATTCAGTTGTTCACACCAATGTTTTGCTTTCAAGATTCTTTCTGGCAATTATTTGTGTGTGTGTGTGTGTGTGTGTGTGTGTGTGTGTGTGTGTGTATGTTTGCACATGCAAGAGTGTATTTACATTCATGTATGTGTAATTGTATGTGTGAAAGCATACATTCATGTCTGTACATGTGTATAGCAGTCAGAGGTCAGCCTCAGGTGTTGTTTTTCAAGAGATGATCTCCTTGATTGCTGAGACAGGGTTCCCAGTGGCATGGAGCTAACCCAATAGACAAGGCTGCTTTCCAGCAAGCTTCAGACATTTATTAGTCTCTATTCCTCTGTCCAGATTCCAAGTGTGCACCAGGATGCCCACCTCTTTACATGGGATCTGTAACTCATGTCTTTCCACTTGCTCAGCAAGCACTTTAACCAACACAGCCATTTCTCTGGTCCTTTGATGCACACACACACACACACACACACACACACACACACACACACAGAGTATACTCACTGCACACACCACACATCTGTGTTCACACATACATACACACACACTTATGTGTCCATCTCAAACTTACCTACACCCTTCTAGGTTTTAGTGAATTTTCACTCCTTGAAGTTGGGGATATACACCTAAAGGATACCCAAATTGTAGATTAGCTTCCCATGTATGGCAGTACACTAAATTAGATTGCAACCCCATGTATCTCTAAAGCCAAATAAAAAAAAGACACCTGTTTCTTTGATTGAGAGATGGATACCCCCATATGTACATTAAATAGGAAATAATATGCCTTAATATATTTTGGTGAGATTTATTAGATTTTATGATGTTCAAATATGATGTTCAAAATTATCCGTCCTTTGCTGAGTATGTGCTTAAAAACAATTTGTTTAAAATTCTAAAACTGATGCTCAATAGTTCATCAATCTGTACACTCACCTGTAAAGCAGTTAAGAGAGATGATAATGATGAGAACTTGGATGTTTTCAAAGACATTATGCAAAGTAAAAGATGCCATAAGTTGACCTACTGTATGATTTCTTTGACAAGATAATTTATAATTGATAATATAGCCTGTTGGAAATAGATCACTAGTTGCCTTGGGTGAGGAAGAGGAGGAATATTTTAGCATAGTGGGATAGAATGAAGGAGTTTTCTGAGTGGCAGAATTGTTGTGTATTCCAACCATAGAGCAGCTGTTCAAATCTACACCTCTTTAAAGGCACAGCACTCACAGCAATATGGTAATGTTACCTTGAGTTAACTTGACTTGTGATCTATTTTAGCAAACCCAATATGCCTGATTATTCTTATTGAGAACATAAACACCAACATCTAAGGGCAGAGGACTATCAGCCAGTCCTTAGACTGTAAGTTTAACTGTGCCCCTTTTACTAAGAGACAGAGTCATAACTCATGGATCTAGTTATTAGGTTTACAGAAGAGAGTGTTGCAGATTCTGCTCTGTGGATATTTCCCTGGGTTCTGTGTAAGAGTGCATGAGAGTAGTCCAAGTTATGTGTCTCCCAGCTGCTGTATCTCATCCTTCTGTGCATATGGAGTGCTTTTCTGTTCTTATGGTAATCATTTTCCTTCCTTCCTGTGTATATATAGTATATGACAGTTACAGTGGCTGTGGGAACCATAACTTTAAGTTCTGTGACTTCTGTGAGTAAAACCAGCCATAATGTTGAATTAATGTCATTGCTCACATGGAATTTTCCTGTTGTTATAAGTGGGAAACTTACAGTGTATTTAAATAAAGGCTTGACATTCATTTTTCAATAGTATATAAATTATGGCACATATGTAGACTGATTTTATCATTTAAATAGCATTACTACTAAATAGAGTAAGACTAGCATCAGAGATTATACACAGAGTGCCATACTTTAGCGTAATGTGGTTTAGCTATCCATACAATTTAAATGGAAGATAACGACCTAAAGAGATGGCTCAACAGTAAAAAGCACTTACAGCTCTTGCAGAGGATCCAGGTACAGCATACTAACTTCCCTAACTCCAGTTCTAGGGCCTCCAACATTCTCGTCTAGCCTCCAAAGGAACCAGAAATGCAAATGGTACACGGCATACTTGTAATACACATACATGTGCACACACCTGCACACCCCCACCTTCTACTCTCCCACATACCCCAAGAATAAATATTTAGAAAAAGTGGAAGATAGCAGATTACCATGACTCTCAGCAAATAACAAACTAGAAATCTGCTCCCAGCCGTGGTAGCTTTGTAGGATTGTCTTCAAACATGATTGGTCAACTGGAACATTAACCATTTACTAAAATGAAATGATAATGGAGACTTTCCAGACTGCAGAGCATCAGAGAGTACTGGTTATTGTTGCTTCTGAGTGTTGAAACATCAGTATTGGCATAGTAAATCAGATAGAAATTGGGACTTGCTAGTATGCAGTATAAAAGACATGCAAGGAATCCTTTGACATCAAGAAAGTTGGGTAAGGATCTAATTGTTGATGGCCCCACCTGTCTTTCCTGGGTGTCATTTTAGAAACAGTCAATCAAGGTGAGATCAAGAACCTGAAGGAGAGGTTTTCTTGGCACTGGTCCTGTTGTTGCATTCCTGTCTGTCATTAGGCTGAGCCTCACATGGGGTGTTGGGACACTGACAGTACTTATAGGGGTAGTGATTGTAATAAATGAAGTATATCAGCCCTAGAGAAAACTCAAAATAAAGAAAATTCCCCTTCCTCCTTCCTAGATGAGTTCTTATGAATTGACCATGATGTCTTCATGCTCTGGGAACATTGGACCTAGGGTGAGTGAGGACAGAGAAAAGTTTGAGAATAGTAGAACCAAGAGCTCCAGGGCAGCTGTTATTCCTGGCTGAAAGCTTGCTGGTAGGCAGGCTATTTCTGTATGTTATGGTCTCCTGGCCGTTACTGAATGCAGAGGTTGTGGCTCAGGGAGCCTTTGCTTATTTGTAACTATTCACCCACCCTTGTGGAGGATGAAAAATGGCCCTCTTGTGCTGGAACTGTCTCAAGGTTTGGGAGTGTATGTCTTAGCAAGGAAGAGTGTTTAACATATCCCCAGTGGGTAGGAAGCCTCATGTCATCTGTTCCTCCAAGCATGTCCTGCATATCAAGAGTCTTAATTCTAAGCAATCTCTTTAGGCTTCCTTGGCTCCAAACTGGATGATAACTTTGGAGTCACCCAGCTTTCATTAGAGCAAGACATGTTATCTTTGTTCATTGAAGTAATTACCGAGGCTAATGGGCCAGGCAAATGGCAGCATACTAAGATTTTCAGGAAAGGGGTGCATGAACCCTGTCCTCTCCTTTCTGTGTTTCCCTGCGAGTGTCACCCTCTCACACTGCTCTCCAACTCTGCAAAATCCTCAGCCTTTCTAGATGTTCCCTCATGTGCACACACATCTAGACCAAGCAGCTGCTGAGTGTCATACTTCCTATTGACAGATGTCAATTCTGTCACCCCTCCCTTCCTGAGCACGGGAGCATATTCACACTAGGAAACACATGCTACCCTGTAAAGTCATTCCTTGGGAATTCCTGGTTCCCACTTTTGGGCTGGCGATCAGACTGTTGCAGGACCTAAACAGTCTAGTTGGAAAAGATTTCACAAAACGCATAGTAAAGGGCTTCCTAGTTTGTGGATGTGCTGAATTCTCTGCAGGATGGGCAGCACAATTTAGTTTGCTGGTTGCAGGTCAGGCAGTCCCACCCTGGAAAAGGGACTTGGTTATGTCCCCTCCTGGTCATCTTCACAGGGAGTAAAGCAATTTGTTTGCTGTATGTGTGCAGGTATTCATAATCTAGTATTGGAGCCATGCTGTAATAAATAACCTAGGTCTCAGAAGCCATGGCCCAATCGACACCTCTGAGTTCACCTCTTCTTGCCACACAGCTAGCAAAGCCTCCCCCATACCTGAAACCAGGCATGCAAATATCAGATTTCCAAAGGGTTGAGGCAGGACAATGCCACAAGTCAATATTCATTTGCTTTCCTAAAGCAGAATATTCTTTTCTTTTACAGAAGTCACGTGGCAATGACGATCTGAATGCTTCTATGACTTCTCATCATTTTGAAGAAGAATCTGTGAGTGTTGTTCAGTACAAACTGGCACTGATGTCAGCTTGTAAATACTTCTCCTCTCCCCCGATTGTTTGTATTGCTTTGCTTCTTTATCTTTGAGATATATGGAAAGGTGCCCGCCTATAGAAACGTGTCTTACAAGTCCTAGCTGGAAGAGATTAATTTGGGTTTATTGATTGGTTAGCCTGGAATAGATTACTCTAAAAATACACAGTAACTATGCAGCTGAGTTTGGAAGGAAGAGGACAAAGCCCTTTGAAGCCCTCTGAAACTTTGAAAAGAAACTTGTCAAGGGCAGCTGCAGCCACAAGATCAATTGATTGAGTGCCTAATGAATGAATAATAAATCATTCCATTTGTTCTTTGAAGAAAGGTAGAAATCTGACCTGGCTCAAACATTGCGTGGGATTCAGACAATTCACAGGTACTCACAAATAGATGGATTTGTTACTGGGGCCCATGACAGTTGATGAATTCCCAGAGATGGAAGTTACAGAGCTTAGGGAATGGGAGAGCATGAGGGTCAAGCAAGACACCAGGGGAAGATACTGAAGAGGGAAAGTGACGTTTGTGTCTAAGCTAGAGAGCAAAGAGTTGAGACTGAGGACTCAGGTGAAGAGCCTGTGCCTCGTGGCCTGGAAGACTGAGACTAATGTTGAGAGTTGAAATTATAGCCCATGTGGAGGAAGCCTACTCTAGTTGGTGAGTATTGGGGGGAATGTAGGCAAGAAGTGGGAGACAGTCTACATCTGACGTGGATATGTGAGCACCCCGTGGTGGGAGCCAACCCTGCTCTCCTCTCGTCATACTGTTTCTTCTCCAGTGTTTATTCCTCACCTTTTTTTTTTTTTGTGTGTGTGTGTGTGTGTAAGTATATATGTATGCATAGCTGTGTATGTGGGTGCACTTGCCTTTATGCATGTGGAGGCTGGAAAAGGACATCCCCTTTCATCACTCTCCACTTGTCCCTTGGAGACAGAATTTCTCCCTGAACCAAGACTCATAGAATGTCAGCTAGGCTAGAAACCAGCCTAACATAAACAGCCTCTTATCTCCACCTCCCTCAGAGATGGACTTGGAGATGTGCATAGAATGTTTGGTTTCTTATGTGGGTGCTGAGACTGGAGCCCCAGTCCTCGTAATTACACAGCAAGTGCCCAACTGCTGAGTCATCTCTGCAGTCCAAGTATACAGTTTTATAAGAACAAATCTCACAATGAATCAAGGAGTATAGAGGTTTCAGACATTGACATGCTATTCATGTAATTGTTGGGAAGTTATATTCATGATTCCATCTGAATTCAGATACAATCCACTGGGGGAAAATATAAAGTAATTGGCTGATAATATAGTTAATGACCATGATATCAAAGCATGTTACAGCTGGAGTTCTTACTTGACCACCATTTCTTTTGTCTTTCCAGATTAGTAAGTAGTGTCTCTGCTTAGGCCACATTTCAGTGACTTAGATGCCTTTTCCATCTGTGCAGACTCTTGGAGAAGCTGGTGATTGCTTGAGTCACCTCCCCAGCCCCTTCGCATACCTCCTCACCATACACCTGAAGGAAGGACGAAACCTTGTGGTCCGGGATCGCTGTGGTAAGGGTCTGTTGTGCGCTTGCTCAGTAGCCTTAAAGGCCCTCTCTGTGTCTTGGTATGAAGGCTTGAGTCAGCTGTTGCCCATCTCACACTAGAGAGGAGCTCATCTATCACACTGGAACCCCAACCTCAGTCTCTTCCATATACATTGACTGTGAGTTATTTAAAACTGATAAATGCTGGTATACTTGAAGAAAAATAGTAATAATGCATAAACATATTTTAGAATGAAATAGTTAAGATAATTTGTATTTGGCATGTAGAAAGTGGTTCGAAAAAATAGTCACTTGGTCTTAACCTTTATTGAAAAGAGTGAATGGTTTTCTTTTGTGTTTGTTTGTTTGTTTGTTTGTTGTTTTGTTTTTTGAGACAGGGTTTCTCTGTGGCTTTGGAGGCTGTCCCGGAACTACATCTTGTAGACCAGGCTGGTCTCGAACTCACAGAGATCCGCCTGTTTCTGCCTCCTGATTGCTGGGATTAAAGGCGTGCGCCACCACCAGGCAGTCAGGTTCACTGATTGATGCAAATGGCCTTTAAACTTCTTCCTTCCTGTCTTGAGACCCATAGGATACCTCTTATACTCATTATGTATTTGTCTTTTCTTTGTCTTTTATACAAGTCTCTTTACATTTCTATATATATTTAAATTAAATTGAGTCCGTGATACCCATCTTGTTGTACAATAAGCCGTGCTTTTTACTCTCCAATGCATCTTCAAAATAGACCATGGTTTTCTGTGCAAATATACTTTCTCTTTTAGGTTCACCATGTTACTGCATGTTCTTTGCATATGTGTCTCCAAAGAAGCTTGTTCATCCTTTCTGTGTCCTTGGGCCCCCACTTATGGATGCCATCTTTGTTCATGGTGGCCTGCCCTCAGTTAAGACATGCAGCTGGGCAGGGTAAACAAGTAGTTCTTGTTGTTGTTGTTGTTGTTTTTCTGTTCTACTTTGAGCAGCTCTTGCCATCTGCCATTTAAAGCCTTTCTTTCTGGCTTACTGCCCATTCTGTCTGTTCCTGTTTGACCATGCATGCTTTGCTAATCCTTGTGTAACATCAGTGGACAAGGGAGTGCCCATCCATCCTCTGCTATGTAAATACTGTATCCAGGCCCTTGTGCTCAATTGTACATATGTCACCTTCTACATCTTGTATCTGCCACCTCCAAGCCTGGAGCATGGCTAGCTCATCTGTCACACGCATTCTCCTCCTATTCACCCTACCTCCACCCCAGAATCCTTACTACTACCTCTCAATACTGCATGTATTTGTGCTGTCAATTCTTCCACAAATCTGCTCTCACCTATATGACTTCACACAGAACTGTGTGGAATATATCCTTTCTTTCTTTCTTTCCTTCCTTCCTTCCTCCTTCCTTCCTTCCTTCCTTCCTTCCTTCCTTCCTTCCTTCTTTCTTTCTTTCTTTCTTTCTTTCTTTCTTTCTTTCTTTCTTTCAAGATGGGGTTTCTTGTGTAGCTCTGACTGCCCTGGAACTCTTGCTCTATAGACAAGGCTGGCCTCAAACTCAACAGAGATCCTCCTGCCTCTACCTTCCAAGTGCTATGATTAAAGACATGCACCACTACCACCTGACATATCCTTTCTTCTTAATAAAAATTCTCTCTTCTCATATTAGTTTTCAAAACAGAGGATATTGCATTGTATTTGATCGAAGTCTATTATTTTTTATTCAACATCATAATTTCTTATCTGTCATTTGAAACATGTGTGTGTTTTATATCTGTCATAAATACATCCATATCTATAGATACTTTCCATTCCAACTTAATGAGAAGGGTCACCTAGATCTTCATAGCTGAGATGGCATCTAAGAGATGTGAT